CAACCTCCTGTGACAGCCAATCCAGGATGGAGAGCGGGTACAAACAGTCAGCAATCAGTGATCGCTGGCTGTCTGTAAATAACTGGACATAGTATGAGTTACTATGTACCAGTTATGAATTATTAGGAAGTGATCTACTTCACTTCCTGTTCATTCATAATTGTGTACATAGTAAACATACTATCTCCACAATCTATGAATGAACAGGAACACTCGGTACAGTATAGAGCCTTGGTTCTCAACTGGTGGGTCGTGACCCAAAAGTGGGTCGCGACCCTGTGTTCAGTGGGTCCCCATGTGCCTTCCACTTTTCTAGGGGCGAGGCTTATCAGCCTCCCTCTTGCGCAGCACTGTCAGTTCTCGTGCCATTCAAAATATGCTGCACAGTGCCGAGTGTCAGCTTGAGGTGGGATGGGATGGGGCTATGGCTGGGAGGGAGCTCCATTCATATGTGCATTACTTACAGCTCCCTCGTGTGCCCTGTAGAGGTGCCTGGACCGGAGTGACGTCACATTCTGGCTCCCGACAACTCTACAGGGTACACAAGGGAGCTGTACAAGCAATGCACATATTGATGGAGCTCTGTCACAGCACAGCAGCCCACACTGGGACCCCAGCTGAGGATCCACTCCAGTTCTCATAAGGTAGGCAGACTGGGTAGACCTTAAAAAAAAAAAAGAACAAAAATATATTTTTTGGGGAGTGTATGTGTGAGATTGTGTCTGTGGTTGTGTGTTTTGAGGGCCCATTCACACTAGTACAGTGCGTTAATCGCATAGTCCTGTGCGATTAACTCACTGTACCACGCAATCGCACCTACCACGCGTTCTGGTGTGAGAAGTGCACTGCATTGCCATTCATTTGAATGGCACCTCAAACGCACCTCCCACCCACAGTTCTATTGCCCGCATCGGAACGCACAGTGCAACTTGAGTCGTGACTTAATGACCAAGGACAAATGTGGGTCCTGAGGTTGCACAGGTTGAGAACCACTGGTCTAGAGGACTCCTGTTCATTTAGTGCCGGGGCTGCAGAAAAAGAGATTGAGACTGCTATTGCCCGCGATATACTGAGAGCGCCGTAGCCGGCCGAATCCCGACAATACTGCCTGGATGCACCCAGCTGCGTAAGTGACAGCTGGCTCTACCTATCTAGTAGACATGTGCGATTCGGCGAGTTTTTGTCGGGTTCTGGCGGTCGTCGTGCGGCGGGACTTTTTTTGTATTGTGGCGGGTCGGCGGGGGCCGTGCATCGTGATTGGCGCTGGATTACATGGATGGAGCCATTTTTTCTTAAATTAAAGGAATGGTCAAAAATTGACTTTGTTTTTTTTTCAATTAAAGGATTTTCTCTAAAAGTATGGTTTGTTTATTTACATTGAATTTAAATACCCCTTACTCATTCACAAGGGGGGGGGGCGGCATCTGGGTGCCCATTAAAGAGGTACCCTGATGCAAATAAGCCCCCCTGCCCGCAGACCCCCACAATCACCGGGTCAGGGTTGTAGGGAAGAGGCCCTTGTCCCCATCGGCATGGGGACACCCTCCCAATGCCGAGGGCACTTGGCCTGGTAAGGTGCAGCCCTAAAGGGCCTGGTAGGGATTTTGGGGGGAACCCCACACACTTTTTGTTTTCCGTTTTAACTTGGTGGGGGTCCCTCCTAACATGCCTACAAGACCTAAAGGGTCTGGTAGCAGACTGCTAACGAATTTAGTCCGAGTCCAAGTCCGAATCCCGAAACAAATTGACTTTCGGACCCGAATCCCGAAATAACGCAAAATCCGAATCAAAACGAAACGAATGTTTTGCCGGTGCACACGTCTACTATCTAGGGGCAAAGGCAGCTGTGCCCGCCCCCACCCCCCTTCCTCTATTCAGTGTTGGAGCATCACAGAGGGGAGCGGGGAGGGGAGTAACCGCTCACTGCAGGGAGATGATCAAGAAGTGAGCGGATCGGCTGCATGTTTCTGCTCTCTTGCCACTCTTCAGCAGAGCCGACCTGTGACAGCTTCTTTGTCACAGGTCGGCTCTAACTATGAGGATGAGTGGAAATCACTCACCTCATAGTTCTCGTTTAACTGTAGAAGTAGCCAACCCTAGTGATGATCGCTCTCAGTCTGCTGGCCTGACATTGTTTCCTGCGGGCTGGAAAATATCTGTGTGGGGTGAGGCTGAGAATGGTATTGTCACACTCTTGTGATGGTTCGGTGGGTTGGAACTGCGTATAATCATGCATTGGTGACGTACAGTGGTTTTGTACCGGCTGTTACCATTACAGGCTCTATTCACATGCATCTGTGTATGCGTAGTCCCACATACCCATGCAGCAGAGGGACTCGTAGGTCCCAATGGAGCACACGTGTGGGGACCTCACTGTACTTGTAGTTCACTATTCACTTCCTCCAGCCCCATACAGTAGGTCCGTAGAGCCTGGGGCTGGGATGTAAACATTCAGGAGTCTGGGCAATGCAACTGTGACACACTGATCACGGCTGCAATGCTTTGAAGTAGGGTTGCACAGATACCAAGTACAGTACTCGGTACAAGTATGAGTACATGTACCAATACGTTTGAGCTCCAAGACTACACTAGAGAAAAATTCTAAAGTTAGGAGGCAGCTGTCATTTGTAAGGAGCACACGGAGCTCCTGGGATTTGTGCATCTCTGTTTTAATGTGTGATTTTGTTTTTATAAATATAAATAAAGGGATGTACAGATACCAGTTTTACGAGTACTGGTACTTGCCAAGTACTTACAAGTACGAGTACTGATACATTTTTGTTTATTGTCATGTGACAGTTTTTCTTAAACAATACAGACTAATGATTTCAGGACAGTGGTGGAGTGCCAGAGCCAGGTCCCCGCTGCAACCCTGGTAGTTCTCATGAAAATGCCAAGTATCGGCACTGGTACTCGAAAAGTATCTGTGCATCCCTACTGTGAAGGCTTGAATGCAAAACATTTAAAAGCACTTTATTCTTTTATCAATGTTGGGTGCTTTTATTAACTCAATCTAATCAAAATGTGGACTATAAGTTTTAACCAACATTATTTATTGGCAAAATCATCCCACTGAAAAATAAAAGGTTTTAGGATTCTTAATGAAGCTTCAATTTGAAATCCTTGCCTTTGCAGGCTACTGATGTCAGCAATAATTCAATTTTCTATGTTCTGCTTACAAAAATGGAAGGAAGTTTAGTAAGTGTTCCATAGCTGGAAATGACACATGTTCATGGAGATGAACCCAACGTTCATATAGAGCATAGGTGGGTTCAGTTGCTAAGCCTTTGCAAGTCAGCGCTCAGCACTGCTAACTTACTACTCGCAACGGAAGTGAATGTGGCTACAGAGCGCTGAATGCGATGTCAGCGTAATTGGAGAAGGTGGGGACAGAGCGCCAGCGGCGATTGCAACTGTGGGCACACCTGGCAGCGATGGAGAAGGGTGCCTGAGCCCCGATGTGGCAAATCACAATTTGTGGAAACCTACAATTCAGTGTTTTGGTGTACAAGTGTGAGCGAAAAACTTTGTCTGATAGTAGAAATTGCACTAACTGCCTCCGCCATTTTACTTAGAACTGAAGCGCTGAAGAACAGCTATTCAGCACTTGGCTACGGAACTGAACATGTCTCAGCTCTCCAGCACACTCTGCTAGAGATGGGTAGCTCATGAGCGATCCGGATCTATTGAGCTGCTCCCTCAGAAGAATGAAAGAGCGGTGGCTCAGTAAAAATGAGCGGCGGTTCTTCTGGTCTGTGCTCTGTGGATGGAATGTAGAAGCAGAGAGTGAGACAAGAGAGTAATCGGCTCTTGTAATATGATCCTAGAGTGGGAGCCAGGCTTCTGCCAGCCCCGCCCACCCCTGCAACCAATCACATCTGTGAGAGACGGATCTGAGCGCCCAAGAGACGGATCGACTCAGGAATGATTTGGTTCTTTCGCTCCTTTGCATCTGGCTCTCGATGGATCAGGAATGATAGAGTTCTTCGGCTCCTCGTGCCTTGTCCATGATACTGATTGATATCTGCTCAAAAGGTTCACTCATTCTACACTACAGCATTCCTACAGCAATTCATGTGAATTATAATAATTAGTGTAGCAGGGGAAGCGAGAAGTGTGAGTTGGGGGGGGGGGGGCTGGTGATATAGTGCTCACTTTTATTATAATGCATTGCTGGGATTTGTAGTCCCGCATAGCTGGTGGTATTTTGCATACCTGTATGATGATTATACAGCAATGCAGAATTGCACCAACTATGTAGGACAACAAGTCCCAGCAATGCATTATGGTGTGTGTGTGTGTTTGGGGGGTGTGCAGGTGGTATTTTGCATAGCTGATTTTTATTATAATGTATTGCTGGGACTTGTAGTCCAGCTTAGCTGGTGGTATTCTGCATTGCTGTATGATGATTATACAGCAATGCAAAATAGCTTCAGCTATGTAGTACTACAAGTCCCAGCAATGCATTATAGTGGGTGGGGTGCTACTATAGTAAAAAGAGCGGTGAACCATGAGCCATTTAAAAGATCCGGATCTTTTCAGTGAGCGATCCGTGGAGGAGCGCTCATGCAGAAGAACCGTTTTGCCCATCTCTACACTCTGCTGCAGCTCCTCCACATCCCTCAGGACCCTTTAGGCTCTAGCCACGTGTTCTTGTGTTGTTCTCCAAGTCACCCAATACCTGAGAGCTTCCTCATTTACTCTTCAACGCTGATTGGCCCACTCCGTGATGACGTAATACCACCGAGCCCACACTAGCTATGTGACCGAAAGCCATATTTGAAAAGGGAAAACATAAACAAGAGCAGAAATGTCAACGAGGGATGTGTTATTGACAAATAAAAATGAACTTTGCTTTAATCGAGTACGATTATACTAAATGAATCATTTAGCCATTTACTGTTTCGCCTGCTCTTTAAGGTATGCCAATTTCCTGCATGGCCGCGCCAGCCTCTCATGACGCGTCCGGTCCCTTAAATATGTCGCCAGTTGGTTGCCTTCAAGTTTCCGTTTCCAAGGCAACCGCGCAGCAAGACGTCACTTCCCGTGCGGTGGTTTCTCTCGTGGAGCTCCTCGTGCTCCTGCAAGGCTCGGAACGGTACCGTTGTGGGGCGGGCTAACTTCAGAGGCCCGCCCCGGAAACACGGACATGGCGGAACCGGCGGGAGTGTCAAGTAGACATGAGAAGAGCCTGGGGCTTCTCACCAGTAAATTCGTGTCCCTCCTGCAGGAGGCGAAAGATGGGGTGCTGGACCTGAAAGTGGTGAGTGACACGTGACGCCGGCCTGTCACACCCCCGGTGTCCCCTACACCTGACAGGCCCACACATGGGCGCCACACTACACGTCCTGCAGCCAGTCCCCGCCGGCCTGACACTGCTCCCCTGTCACACAGGCCCGGCTCAGAATGCATGAGGCAGCATTGTTGTGCACCTTTTCACAAAACATAGTGACCTAATGTACAACCAAGCCCCCTCCCCCCCCCATTACTGGTGCTGCCACATGTATCTGTAATGATGACCATTGCCCACACCAGCTAGTATAAGCCCTCATTCATGCCTGCGCAATATCAAATATGTGTGTTTTGTGTAGTACGTTTCTGCGCCTTTTATGCATGTACAGAGTTGCACGTTTTTGCGAGCAGATCATGACACATTGATGTGAATGGCCAAATGTGCAAAAATGCAGCAAATGTGCGGATTTGAGCATTTCCATTGAAGTCTATGGGGCCAAGAAGCTGCAGAATTTGCCAAAAAGCAGCTTGTACTGGTTTGTGGCAATACACTCCAGATGTGAGAATGTTCTGGGGGTGTTGCAAAACGCTTGGGGTGAATGAGGGCTAGTGGTTGCAACACTTGAAAAGTTCATTATGCTGCCATGGAGGCTATGTAGCAATAATGATTGTGATTGGTCAGCGTGATTGTGCTGACCAATTAGAGTCCCTTCTGAGCGTTCTTCTGGCATGTCCCTGTAAAAAAAATTAGAGCTTCTCATTGGTCAGCACAGCCATACTGACCAATCACTGCAACCTATTGCAAGCATTATTTTGCTATACAGCCTTTGGGACGGTGTAGTGAAGTTTTGGCAATGTTGTAGTGTTTCAGTTGTAGTGTTTGTGTTAGAAGCCCTGTCACCATTTTTGTGAGCTTTGTAGTTGGTTCCGTAGTATGTTGCCTACAAGGTTGTACGTAATGTTTCCTGCAACACAGTTCAGGGGACGCTAGTGGTGAAGTAAAGACAGAACTGCCACCCAACAGTTAATTCTACACTATTAATATTTCTTTGGGCTTATCTTATTTGCCCACATTAGGTTATTGTGATTTATGGACCCTTCCACATTATACACTGTACAGCTTCTTACATCTCCTCTCCACCTCCAGCCTACTTATGACTATCACTATCAGGGATCATCACTATGCTGGGAGAGCCTTCATTGTCCTGACAAAACTATGCTGCAGTTGAGGATGAGGATCTGGCTGTGCCCGCTGGTATTGTGCACCTGGATCACAAGAGTAACTGCTCAGATTTACAAATCTCTGGGCAGGTAAAATGTTTCATATCGATACAACCCTGCGATCTAATTTTTTTTTTTTTTTTTTTTTAACTGCGGTTATTCTAAATTTTTAGTTTAGAAAAAACACTGCAGTGTTTTTAAAACATGCATTGTTTGTGTGACGCAAAGCAGTTTTTGGAGGCTGAGATGGGTACAATATTTGAATTGTGTCTTCTTCAATATTCAAATGAACCCGATTTGGCCTAAAAATGCCTTTAGAAGATTACTGTCCTGAAAAATGCTGATAAAGAACATAAATGGATTTTCCATTGAATTGAATGGTACAAGTCTGAAGATGTCAGGTAGGGACTCTGTGGTGCTTAGCAGGGTGCACAGTGACCATTTCAGAGGAGGGGGGTTGTAGGCAAATATAATCTATTCTGAAAGTGCTGAGTAAGGGGGAGGAAGGAAAAGATGAGTGCCCTAAAACTGAACTTCCTGTCCTTTCAGGCTGCATTAATACTTCCTTGTGAGTTTACAGGCAATTTTAGAATGTTTTCACTTGCGAATTTTTGTGCATTTTTTTTCAGGTGTATTTAGTCATTTTTGTTTTGGCCAATAGAAAGCTAGTTACTAGAAGTTTTTTTTTTTTTTTCTTCTCCTATTCATTTTCAGGTGGTTTTCAGGCCCTTCCATTGAAGTCTACGGGGCCTAATAACTAAATTCTGCTTCAGAATTGGCTCATGTACCTAACTGAGCTTCAGGTGTCAAGCTGTAGGCGCTCGAGCATTCATATGTGAACAGGCTCAATTTAAAGCATGTGTTGTTTAGCTGTTGAGCATATTGGCGCTTTAGGCCTCAAGCTACAAAATGCTCAGGTGTGAATCTGGGCTCAAGCAACCTGATGTAGATGATGGCTGCTGGATAATTTTCTCATGTAGGAATTTAATCTTGTAGCAGATCATTTCAACCAACTGTTTTAGGTGGAATGTTTTTGGGTCACTTTATTTTTCAGTGTCTTCAGGCACCTGAAGTCCAGGTAATTAATTTTACAGAAATGTATTGTAATTCCCATTTAAAGATCCCCGCCTTGCCCTGTTATGTGGGTGATATTTGGATATCAAATACTTGCGTTATTTGGCAGTCATATACTGTGTCAGTGTTCTGTCTACTGAGCAGTCTGTCATGCTCTGCTTGGCACAGTTGGCTCACACAGTATGGGCTCCCCATGTTCTCATTCTGAACGGCTCTCCTACAGCGATTGCTAATTTATTACAGACTGTCTTACCTAGTGAGGTCTGATTTGCTGTGTGACTAAGGCCGCTTGCAGAATTCAGGAAAACTAGTAAGTGATATTGTCACAAGTTCTAAAGAGCTGGTGGTGTTTATGACAATATACTGATGCATTTGGTTGATTTAAAGACCATGGTTCTCGGTTTAATTGAAGATGTATTCTTAATTTCTTTTTATGGGTAACTGGACGTTGGCCCTTAATAGAGGCCCTACTCAAATGTAAATTTAAAGGTTGACCACTTTTTACAAAAATGTTTCATATCCCAAACCCGCCTAACACTGCTAATGAATGGTGTAAGTGCCCATCAGATGTAAAACATCTGTTCTATCCTGGGGTTCCCTCAGCCTGTATACCATGTGCATGCTCCAGGCCTGAACTTGGACCATAATCAAAGGGCCTATACTTGGCTTCGCCCATGGACTCTACCCAGGCATTATTCTCCACAGCTGGCCCTGGAGTTTTTTTCACTGGCTGGAATATAGGCTGTAGTAGGGCCCTACCAGATGTAATGGCTGCCCAATGTGGGGCAACATGTGAAACATTTTATCTGCATCCAAGGCCCTTTTTTTTTTTTTCCCCGTAGTGTGGGCGGTAGGCAAAAGCGCTTATGTATTTAGTGGCTTACATGTAAACTGGCAGTCAGTCATTTTGGACTCTTTTTCGGCCAGTGTCTGTTTTTGCTGAAATATGTTTGGGCTGTTTGGCCAAAACGAACCTAATCAAAATGCCCATTTTACATGCCAAAATTTATAGTCATGTGATATGTCCAAGTTTACTGTCTTTACTGCAGAGTAGGAGGAGCCTGTGTGATGTGGACACTTCCTGTTGGCTGCTCACCTTTCACATCCCTTGGATAAGGTGCCGGCAGCTGACGTGATAGCGGACTTCAAGTGGTTAAAAGAAGAAAAAAAAAAATCTTTGCTTTGGGGTAGAGTCATTTTCGGTTTTGGGCTGGCAAATTTTTTTAGTTTCGGTCTGAAGATGTCATTTTGGTACATCCCTATTTAAAATGGCTTCTGAGTTAATTTTGTAATGGTTGTGTGCAGGATGGTTTGACATGGCTGCTCCAGGCACCACAGATGTCTGTTTTTCAGCTCAGTCCCTGTGTGATTTAATAAAGCCATTGTACAAGCTTGCCCGCTACAGTTATCTAATGGCTTTCTTGCTAGTAAGGAAAATTAAAAGCAAAGTGTATTTGGTATTGCTGACTTTTTCACGTTGCCCTTTTGAGAATAGTGTGTGTTGAAGATAATGGTCTTTGTGAAAATAGCATGATGTTCTGCAGAGGGGGTCACATTTGATATCTCCCAGCTCAGCAGGAAGTCATCATTACAAGTGTTCAAAATTTGTATGGAATTTACTGCTTTCTCTTAGAGTGTAAAGGTTCACCTTTGTAACAAAGAATGAAAAATGTTTGTAATGGCCTGCTGGATATATGTTTGGCTATAGACTTTATTTCTGTTAATGTGTGTGTGTGTGTGTGTGTGTGTGTGTTTTCTTTGTGTGGATATAAATGAAATTCTAACCCTTCCACCTTCTCTCTAAGCACCTGTTAACACTGGGGCTGTGTGTTAATTGCATGCAATACTTTTGTAATCACACTGCAACACACTGTATTGCTGTACCACACGTTGCAGAGCAGTATATCAAATTGTGGGTGGGAGGTGCGTTTGGGGTCCCATTCAAATGAATGGCAATGCAACACGCCTCCCGCACTGTTAACACATGGACCTGGTGTGAACCGGCCCTAACACTTGAAAGTTATGGTTTATAAATACTTAAGTACATTATTCGCGATGAGACATGAATGTTATTTCAGGATTTTTATTTGGTCTTTCTGTGTAATTATTTCCTTTAAACTTTCAGGCTGCTGATACATTGGCTGTGAGACAGAAAAGGAGAATATATGATATTACCAATGTACTGGAGGGGATCGGTTTGATAGAGAAAAAATCAAAGAACAGCATCCAGTGGAAGTAAGAATTTATTTAGAAGGGGATTTTTTTTTTTTAAATCGTACTGAATGTTGGCAATACTATATTTCTGCCAGGAAATGATCTAAACCAGTGGTTCTCAACCTGTGTAACCTCAGGACCCACATTTGTCCTTGGTCAATAAGTCGCGACCCATGTCACACTGCTATCGAACTTTGGGTGGGAGGTGCATTTGGGATGCCATTGAAATGAATGGCAACGTAACACACCTCCCACACCAGAACTCGTGGTATGTGTGATTGCATGGTACAGTGACATGGGACTGTGTGATTATTGCACTGTATTAGTGTGAACGGGCCCTCAAAAACACTGACACACAAACACAACCACATACACAATCTCACACACTCAAAATTTGTTTTTCTTTCTTTTAGGTCCTCCCAGTCTCCTTACCTTAAAAGAACTGGAGCGGATCCTCAGCCTGGGGTCAAGTGCAGGCTGCTGTGACGGAGCTCCAAATGTGCATTGCTTATACAGCTCCCTTGCACGCTCTGTAGAGGTGCCAGGAGCCAGAATGTGATGTCACTCTAGTCAGGGCACCACTACAGCACACACAAGGAGCTGTAGATATGGATGGAGCTCCCTCACAGCCATAGCCGCAGCCCACTTTGCCTCAAGCTTACACTCGGTGCCAGGCAGCATATTTTGGCGTAAGAACTGACAGTGCTGCGAAAGGCGGAGGCTGAGGAGCATCTCAGCTAGAAAAGTGGAAGGCTAACTGACCCATTGAACATGGGGTCGCGACCCACTTTTGGGTCAGGACCCACCAGTTGAGAACCAAAGATCTAAACCATTTCTGTTTGTATAGTGTTGGAGACATGCTGTGTTCCACATCCTTGTCATTTTTGAGCTTTATTTATTTAATTATATATTTATTTTAGGCATTTTATATAGCGCCATTTACACAGCACTTCATATAATTGTTTTTTTTCAGTCCCTGCCCTCTATGAGCTTACAATCTAAGGTACCTATCTCACATACATACATACAGCAGCAAATTAACCTACCAGCGTGTCTTTAGTGTGGGAGGATACTGGAGTGCGCATGAATTTGACTATCGTGTATTTTTCTTGTTGCTGAACTGATGGTCTTCCTCTCTGCTCTTGTTCAGGGGTGTTGGTGCTGGATGTAACACAAAGGAAATTCTAGAAAGACTGAGGAATCTTAAAACAGAAATCGGAGACCTGGAGTTGAAAGAAAAGGAGCTGGACCAACAGAAAGTGTGGCTGCAGCAGAGCATCAATAATGTTATGGATGATTCAGAAAATAGGCTATATCCTTTTATTAGCTTCTTCAGGAGACTTAATTTCTGTATTATTTGAGAGAAAGGAGTCAAAGTAGACTTTACTGTTATTGTCGTCTATTAAATCAGAATTGGCAAAGAGACCCTGTTCTCTTTGCAACGTCAGGTCCGTTTAGAGGTCTGCTACTTAGTGACACTAACTCGGGAGTTATATCTTAAATACATTTAAGTACCTTAACTATTACCAAAAATGTATCTTATTTGTGTATCACTCGGCTGTAGAGCCTCAAATATTCTCTGAATTGGTGCTGACACTGTCCTCTTGGGAGGGTGGCTACTTTTGTTCCCCATTGTTCTTGTGTGTTGTAAAGTCACCACAACTCCAAGATCACTCTTATGATGGACTACAATCTCATGTTTAGTTTACTAATTTGTAGTGACATTGTAGTCTATCCCAGGAGTGAGCTTGGAGTGGTGGCTACTTTACAACACACACAGGGACCATGGAGAACAAAAGTAGTCACCCTCCAGAAGGGACAGTGTCCACACCAATTCAGAGATGATTTGAGGATCTACAGCTGAGTGATGCACAAATAAGATACATTTTTGTTAATACAAAATGCATTCAAGTAAATTTCTAAGATTGTACGGTTGCACGTCTTTTGTCTAAGGAGCATGCTAGAAAACCAGCCGAAAATCTTACGATTTTTGGCTGGTTTGAATGATGCTCGGGAGACAAATGCCAAACGGGCCGGTGTGCACACGCTCACACTGCCTGTTCAGCATTGCAGTCATCGGAAGCCCTCCCCTCAGCGGGGCAGGCTTGCCATGATTGCAAGTACGATCTGCCTGTCCAAGATGGGCAGATCGTACGTTTTAAAAAAAAATTACTTTACAACCATCGCAAGACCTAAGGTCTTGCGATGGTTGTAAAGTGTATGGCCACCTTTAGCCTGCCTCCCCTGATGAGGTCAAAGGTCACATTGATTAAGCATTCTTTTTATACTAGTCCAGGGGCTTACAGATGTCAGCCAGCAGAATGCATATGCAGTTTAATTGGCCTGCAAGGTTTTTGATGATCCTCAAAATGGTTAGTCTTGATAGCAATAAATGGACAGAGTAGCTACCAACACAAAGATGTGAGATGCTGTTATGTGTTGGAGGCTGACCTTTTATGTTGAGGCTCCATCCATGCATCATTAAAACATTAATGGTGCCATTGACAAGCGGCTTAGCTTTTTTGGCACCTCAGTAATGAGGGAAGAGGTCCAGTATTCTATAAAGAGATATAGGACTGCTATATATTGCTGCAGTCAGAAAGTGACATTTTTATAGAACAATCTGCCTGTATCTATCAGGATATCTGGTGAGTTTATTAAGGTAAGCACTTCAGATGTGCAAACTATAGCTGCCAATTGGGATGAGGTTTACAGAAGGATGAATGAAAGATCGGTGTGGTCGCAGTTACATAGTATTTGAGGTTGAATAAAGACACAGGTCCATCAAGGTGTGTGTCCGTCCGTCCCCCTGCATGTTACGGTCTCTGAGGAAGGTATCTACATGCTTTTTGACTGATTCAATACTCTCTGCAGATACCACTGCTTGTGGCAGCGAGTTCCAGAATGTCACCGCTCTAACTGAAAAGCCCCTACACCCTGTGTGGATAAATCTTTTCTCCACCAGTTTTTCTCCTCTAGTCCTTGTTAGGGAGTTTACAGTAAAATGTTTATTGCTGATGTTACCATCACCACTAAACATTTTGTACATCACAATCATGTCCCCTCTTAATCTCCTCACTTCCAGTGTGAACAAGTTTAACTGTTGTAACCTTGTCTCATAGCTTAGGTCCTTCAGCCCCTTGATTAGTTTAGTGGGTAACTGCTTTGCACTTTGCTTTAACCCCTTCGTCACTGACGACGTACAGTGTACGTCGCCAGCATCGGGGCTGTTTAAACAGACTCCCGGCGACTTTTGCCGCCGGGAGTCTGTTTAAACTTGTAGAGCCGACTGTCGGCTTTACAACAGAAGCGATCCTGGCGACTTACCTGTCGCCAGATCGCTTCTGTGTCCCGAAGAAGGGGCCGCCTCCCCGCCGGACACACCCGCCGTGCTTCCCGCGCTCCGTTGCCCCT